GAAACAGAAAATAAACTTCAGCTTTTGACTTTGAGATCTAGCAAAGGTTCTTCCCTGTTTTTGAAGGAGAAAAGTTTCTTGTGAGCTGAGGGTCGGGTCTTGTTGCATGCACTCATTGCAAGATGATGTTGGCAGGGGCATGGGCAGGGTGGAGGCAGGGGAAGCATGTGAAATGTCAGGAAGAGAAAGATAGTAACATCTGACTCTGGCATGCTCTGAAACTTGGTCTTTCCTTGAGTGAGCAGTACACTCAGACGATCTGGCAAAGCGGGGTAGGGCATTGGCAAGATGAAGAAATAACATCCTTAGTTAAGTGAAAACATAGATGAAATATTACTTTGAGGATTGTGTATATGGAAAATAGAGAGTGTGACTTCTTACATATCATATGGGACAACAATGCCTATGGGAGAATGTGTGCTTCTGGCAACTTTTTGATTTGTTAGCCAAGGGAACTCCTGAATGAGAAGTACCTTAAGACCCTACTTTTATTTTTATTTTAAATTTTGTGCCAGGGTCTCACTGTGTCACCTACACTGGCGTGCAAGGGCAGCCGTGCTAATGGTTCACTGCAGTCTCAACCTCCTGGGCTCACGCGATCTTCCCACCTCAGCCTACCAAGTAGTTGGAACTACGGGTGCATACCAGCATGCCTGGCTAATTTTTAAATTTTTTGTAGAGTTGCTGTCTCACTTCTTTGCCCAGGCTGGTCTCACCTCAGCCTCCCGCAATGCTGGGATTACAGACATGGGCCGCCATACCCGGCCTAAGACCCTGCTTTTAGATAGGAGTAACAACTCAGCCTGGGAGAGAAGCTTCCTCCTAGGGCTGAAAAGTGCAGTGTGTTGCCTGGCAGCCCCTATGTAACAGAGGTCAGGGCATCAGGAGAAGAAAAAGTGCATGCCACTGCGGAGTTATAACTGGTCTGCTTAAAACTGCATAAGGGCTGGGTGTGGTGGCTCATGCCTATCATCCCAGCACTTTGGGAGGCTGAGGCGAGTGGATTGCCTGAGCCCGCGGGTTCGAGACCTGCCTGGGCAACTTGGTGAGACCTCATCTCTATAATAAATCAAAAACTAGCCGGGCGTGGTAGCACGTGCCTGTACTGTAGTTCCAGTTACTTGGAAGGCTGAGGCAGAAGGATCGCCGGAGCCCAGCAAGTCAAGGCTGCGGTGGCCGGGAGTGTGCCATTGCACTCCAGTCTGGGCAGCAGTGAGACTCTAACTCAAAAAAAAAACCAAACAAAGAAAGTTCATATTCCTGACTACTGTGTTCTAAGAAGGCTGTCATTTGTTTTTGGTTTTTTTGTTTGTTTGTTTTTGAGTCAGAGTCTCACTTAAGGAATGACTTGTTGAAGGAGTACTGATAATTGAGTTACCATCTCAATCCATATACAGGAGTAATCAACCTGTGATGGCCAAGTGATACCACTTTTGGAAAAAATAATAAAACAAAAAACCTTAGTCAAGAAAGAAAGCCTAAGAGAGCCACTTGATCTACTTCCTATATTTATCCCTGTTCTCAGTTTGAAGTATTAATTGAAGAACCTGTCTCCCTCTAGTGATGTATTTGGCTCTGCCACAAAATCAGATTCTATAACCCTGCTTGACTTGTGTCAGTTGTCTCGATTTCAGACGATAGTGTCACACCATTCCTTTAGTGTGTTCTCAGCGCTGGAACTACCAGACAAGTGTATCCATTAAGTAATGCCAGAAATCAGTTAGCTTCCTGGAATAGAATTTGTCAACCTGATAAACCAGCTCTTATAATGGCATCATCTTATACAGAATTAGCAGTGATTTCTACTTGGAAGGCTGAGGTGGAAGGATCGCCAGAGTCCAGGAGGTTGGTGCTGTGGTGGCTGTGAGCATGCCACTGTACTCCCGCTCAAAAAAAAAAAGGAAATGATTTCTCTGGTCACACTTGTAGATTTGACCTGAAAAGTGTGTGTGTGTCCACATCCATCTTGGTTCACTATCTTGAGACAACTTGGTTCACTATCTTGAGAAATTCTCAGTTCTTCATTTTGTTTGTTTTTTGAGTTGTAATCTCACTCTCACCCAGGCTGGAGTGCTTTGGCAAGCTCAAGGCCACCGCAGCCTCGACCTGCTGGGCTCAGGTGATCCTTCTGCCTCAGCCTTCCAAGTAGCTGGAAATACAGACGTGTGCCAGCACACCCAGTAATTTTTTTATTTATTGTAGAGACAAGGTCTCGTCAAGTTGCCCAGGCTGGTCTTGAACCCTTGGACTCAGGCAATCCTCTAGCCTCCACCTCCCAAAGTGCTGGGATGTCTGGTGTGACCCACTGCACCTGGCCAATTCTCAATTCCTTTTTTTTTTTTTTTTTGAGTTGGAGTCTCACTCTATTACCCAGACTGGAGTGCAGTGGCCACTCACGGCCACCGCAGCCATGACCTGCTGGGCTCCGGTGATCCTTCCGCCTCAGCCTTTCGAGTAGCTGGAACTACAGGTGCGCGCTACCACACCTGGCTTATTTTGATTTTATTGTAGAGATGAGGTCTCGCCAAGTTGCCCAGGTGGGTCTCGAACCCGCGGGCTCAGGCAGTCCACTCACCTCAGTCTCCCAAAGGCGCGGGATTACAGGCTGAGCCACCGAGCCCGGCTAATTCTCAGTTCTTAAGGTGGTTAATGTTGCTACTGAAAACTTCATGCATTATGCTCTTGGGAATATTGTGGATGCTCCTCAGAAAATTCTTACCCAGTCATCACCCTTCTTATACTGATCCCAATTTATTGTTATAGTTGGCCCAATTTATTTTACATGTGATATTTAATCGTATATAAGCCATGTAATATATAAGCCTATACATTTTATATGTAAGCCAATCTTCCTGGCTTAGATGTTATGCTCTAGTTTTTATTTTTATTTATTTATTTATTTTTGAGTTGGAGTCTAACTCTGTCGCCCAGACTGGAGTGCAGTAGCCGCTCCCGGCCACCTCAGCCTCGGCCTGCTGGGCTCCGGTGATCCTTCCGCCTCAGCCTTCCAAGTAGCTGGAACTACAGGCACGTGCTGCCCAGGCAGGTCTCGAACCCGCGGGCTCAGGCAATCCACTCACCTCAGCCTCCCAAGGCGCAGGATTACAGGCTGAGCCACTGAGCCGGGCTAATTTTTTGATTTATTGTAGAGATGAGGTCTCGCCAATTTGCCCAGGCGGGTTTCGAACCCGCAGGCTCAGGCAATCCACTCACCTCAGCCTCCCAAAGCGCGGGATTACAAGCGGAGCCACCAAGCCCAGCCTGCTCTAGTTTTTAAACCTTGTGGTAAAACCAAAAGTTAAGGCAAAAATCCAAGCAAGTTTCCGTTCTTTAAGGACGCAATAGGGAAATTCTATAAGGTACCAAGTAATTGATGGGATTTATGTGTACTGGTTTGATAAATGTCTTTTTGTTGATTCCCACTTCCTCCTCATTCCTTATCCCCTTTGCTGCATGCTTTTAGTACAACTGCCACTCTCAAACATACTTTGGCACATATTCTGAAGTGGGATCGCATGGGAAGCTCCTCTTCTGGTGTTTTTCCTACAAGTTTTTAATCCAATTTTGCTGTTCTGAACAAGCAAGAACCTCCTTACAGACACCTTTTTGCACCTCCTCAGGGTCTGAAGGGTCCTTGAGCAGATTTCTCTAGGAAGAGAAAGGCAAGAAATGTGGTAGAGGAGGCAAAAGCGCTGTCATTTGCTACTCTCCTTGCTATACTCCCTGCCCTGCTTGTTCCTTGCTGTTCTTTCCTCTCCACAGGGTGTCTGAATATTTCCCAAGGACAAGGATAAGCGGCAGAAGGTTTCTCTGAGTGGCATCCTCTGTGCTGCTTCTAAGGTGTGCCCCCAATGACTCACTGGTCACCAAAGCACGTGGGACAACTCATCCCTCACATTCTCATCCAGATCAACAGATTTACTTATTTTCAACCTCCAAAAGCAAAGATCTATTAAAGGACCTGGGAGAATTCTGTGAAACATGGAATTGGACTGGTTTAGATTCTGGGTTTGGGCCAGTTGTTTTCAATGCAGGAGAACTCTAGGATTCTATGCTATTTCAAGAAAAGGGGATTAAAGGTTTGCCAATAAGGTGGAGACAATGCATTTACTTGGTCAGATAGGGAAGAAAAACAATAGAACTGCCCTTTGACTTCCCTCTGGGAAGCAGAAGGCCTGTAAACTTGTAAAGAGTTGGAGGCGGCATTCAAACTTGAGGCAAGTAAAACAATTTCTGTTCAAAGCAGCTACCTGAGGGTCTTTCTTGGTATCTCTTATAGTGTGTCTTTTCCTTATGATGCTTTAAGATTAAGTCTGAAGCTGACTCTGTGTCCTAATAAGCTTTCTGTGGTTTCATTCTTTCATTCAGTACTGTGTTGGTTTTCACTCCAACTTTTCATCTGTTTTTCCTGGTGGAGTTTCTCTGGTAATGGACAGATTGCTCTGAGTTCTTCCCTTCTAATGAATTGGTAAATCTGACTGGAGGGCTGTTAAGACTCCATTAAAGTTCAGCTCAACTGGCCAGGCGCAGTGGCCCAAGCCTATAATACCAGCACTTTGGGAGGATGAGGTGAGGCGAGAGGATTGCTTGAGTTCACGGGTTTGAGACTAACCTGGGCAACATGGTGAGACCTTGTCTCTACAATAAAATAAAAATTTAGCTGGGCGTGGTAGCTCACACCTGTAGTTCTGGCTACTTGGAAGGCTGAGGTGGAAGGATTGCCTGAGCCCAGTAGGTTGAGGCTGCGGTGGCCAGGAGCGTGCCACTGCTCTCCAGCCTGGGTGACAGAGTTAGACTCCAACTCAAAAAAAAAAAAAAAAAAAAAAATTCAGCTCAGCATTGTCCAACCTTTTGGGAGGCATCAACTGTATGTGATTATAATTACAGGGTCTGTCATTTTACCTGGGCAGAACTCCCTGAATATTGGTCATGTAGTTTGTGAAATGTATTTTTCTGGCATGTGTATAAGTATCTTAGTCTTGTGTTCTCCTTCATTGCAGACGAACAAGAGGCATTGAATTCGATCATGAAGGACCTGGTAGCCCTCCAGATGAGCCGACGCCCCCGGGGGCCTGGATATGAAACCATGAAGAACAAGGACACAGGTCACTCAAGCAGGCAGGTGTGTGGCCCTGGTAGAGCTTACCTGGAGTTGTTGGGGAAGAGTTTTGAAATGGGAACACTGTGAAAAGCCAAGGATGCTTAGCTTCAGGCTTGAATGCTGTTGGCCCCTTCCTTGCCAGTCTTTTGAATGGTAAGTGATACATGCCAGGTATGGGCACCTGGTCTTGGCCAAAGCCTTGTGGAGAGTAAGAATGATTTCTTCACTTTTTATGGAGACAGTATTCATCTAATTTTTTCCCATTTACTGATTATTTGGCAAATATTTAATTCACACTCATGATCCTTAACTCAGAAGAATTTTAGCTACCTTACAGAATATACTCAGGGAAAATTATTGAATTTGATATTAACTTATGTAAAATATAATCGGAAAGGGAAATGTACTTATCAAAATGTCACATATGATATTTAAAAGGTGGCAATGAGAGATTTTGGTGTTATTGTTTACAGTTGCTTCCCCTTATCAACTCAGTTGAGAGTGCCTGTTTTATTGACAGTTGTGTGTTCTTTAGGAAAACATTTCCTATTTTTGTAAACGTTTAAACTTGGTGCCTTTGAGGATCTTATTCTCACCTCTGGAGTCACTTACCTCCCTGTTCTCTGGGTGCTTTGGTCTGCAGAGAGGGGCAAATGGTGGGGAGCTTTCCTGCCCAGTGGGTATGCAGTGGCCATGGCAGCTGGCTGTGTTGGGCATGTTTGATGAAGAGTTTTCTGTGACATTCTCCCTCATGGTTCTCTTTGTTATTGGCTAAACTCCTCTCTCCTCATTTGCACCTTGTCTACTTCTTCAGAATTACCCTTGGTTCCTAGAGATAGTCTAAGGCCCTAGAACATTTTCTGTCTGGGGTGATGTAGCCTCCCAGAGTATTTCCTGTTTTTAGGAATCCTCGGGACCCCGGGGGAGAGGAGTCTTTTTGTTTCATGTTGTAACAGAAGAGTTTGTTTTAAAAGCTGTTTTTATCGTATTTACATTACAGACTGGGGGAATAACAGATTAGGGCTTATTCTTGAACTATTTTCATATATTACTCTAACTGTGGGTTCTCCCTTGCTGTAACTCATTTGTATTCAAAGCTACTTTTGGAAGGAGTGTTTTATAAGAAGTGAGTCCCCTCCCCCCAGCTTGAGCCTAATGACCTCACTTTCCTTCCTGTCTTCCTATGTGGAGTGTGCTTGTTAACGTTGTTCCAGTTAGCTGATCTTCCTCCAAACTGGACTATTAGTGTGCATATCAGTCAGTGGGTGAAAAGGGGATGCTTTCTTGAGCTGGAAGGCCCAAAGGGACCGGGCTGGGGAGAGGAGGGGTGAAGTGGTTTCTGATAGTTCCTTGAAGGGGGGCTTCCTCTTAGGAATCCTTCTGCTTGGAGCCCAGAAGTTGTGAGAGAAGCCCTGGTCTTCCGCTCTGCTTGCTGCTGTGTTCTTGGGGTGGAGCTAGGGTTATGGAGGGAGAAGGCTGTGGAAAGGACTGGCTGTGAGGATGCAACGTTGACCAGAGATACAGGCTCTTTGGACCTGCAAGTCCACTTGAATGTTGTCAGACTTCTTCTGTTGCATGGGGGATACGAATTGTTAACCTCAGCTTTTTTTTGTTTTTAAAGAAAAAACACAACAGCAGCAGCCCAGCCCTTCTGAACAGCCCCACAGTAACAACAAGCTCATGTGCAGGGGCCAGGGAGAAAAAGAAATTTTTGGTAAGGACCCAAATTGCCCGTTAAAGCTGAAATGTACTTTTAAGTCTGCTACTTGTGCTACGAGAGTGGAATTCATGTTTTAGACAAGTTGTTTTCGGGATTTGTGAGGAGCACTGGGTATCTATGACTATGCTCTGTGCCTCTAGGCCCTCTTTCTCATGATGTTACTTGCAAGAAGCCTGTATCAGTGCTATCCATTCAACCCTCTGTGATGACAGAAGTGTTCAGCGTCTGTGCTGTCCAGTGTGGTAGCCACTAGCTGCAACCAAGGAACTGAATTTTAAATTTTGCTTAATTTTAATTAGATGGCCACATGTGGCCGGTGGCTGTTGTGTAGGACAGCACAGCTTTATGTACCGTGTGAGGAACTGTTGATTTGTTGGGCTAGGAATTCAGCATGTGCTTGGAGATGTTTAGAGGCACGTGGGTGTCTTTGTTCCTTTCCCATGGGCCTGAGTTTCTCTGCATTGTGCTAAGCTCATCAGTGGGACCCTATCCAAGATTTTGCTCTGGGAGGGATGAAGATGTCAAGATGGCGTTTCCCCTTAACAAGTCAAGGTCGTAGGTTGGCCTCTCCTGGGAAGTGTAGCATATGTTTAGCTTTGGACCCGGAAAGGTATTCTTCAGCCAAATCCTGAAAGCAGGAAGGTAGAAAGTGTCAGCAGATGCATTTCTAGGAAAGATTGGGTGAGAGTAGAGGTGCAAAGGTGTTTACAGCTTAGTGTAATGAAAAGAGCCCGGCGACGTTAATATCCATTAATGTGGGACTTTACAATTTTATGGAAGGAATTTGCATCATTATCATTCTTGCTGTTTTTGTTAGTGTAGGCCTAGGATGAAATGAAACAGTTTCCTTCATTCCAGTTCTTCTGCCATGAAGTCCATGCTTGGGAGGAGAGAGGAATGAAAGAGCAAAACCTATCATTTAAATGGTGAAGAGATGCCAAGTTGTGCTAAGAAATGTCAAATTGGGCTACAGAGTCAAGGAAACTGAGTTGAAAGAAAGTAAGTATTTTGGCTAGCAGGAAAGGTTGTTTATTCAAGAGGGAATGGTTTCAGTGTGAGAATGCAAGGCAGAGTTGAGATTGGCACAGCCTCATGAGGTCAAGCATGACCCAGCAAGGAAAGACAGAAGAGCTGTGGGTACAGTGACAGAACTGTTTGGGGGATGAGGCCTGGAAGGACTGGAAAGCCTCACCTAATATATGTGCTTGGCAGGACTTGAGACATCCTCTTTCCTACATAAACAAGCTTGGTAACTAATTGAGAAGGGGAATGCATTTGAGAGCAGATAAGCATTCTGAGCAGCTGTGGACATGCTCAGAACCAACTGAACGCTCTTAGGTTTGAGGCACATCCTAGGTGTGGCTGGGGTCTGTGGATGATTTTGCAGGCCATGATGTGCAGTATCCCTTTAGCAGTCATCAACTTACAGTGCTATATCAATGGGTGCCAGCTCTCTATGGGTCTGACAGCTTAGTGTAGTGAAAAGAGCACTGGCCTAGGAGTCATAGAATTGTTAGCATCTGTTAACATAGGATTTTACAGTTTATGGAGTGCTTTCAATAGAAGCACTTAACATCAACAGCTATAAGCCTGTGCATAATACTTTAAGGTTTACATAATTTTTCCACAAAGGTATTGAGTGGAGCCAGGAAGTAAGCCCAGGTCTTCGGATTCCTAGTCAGTAAGTTTACCATGTATAATTCACATAACTGTCCTGAACTGAGTTTTTCCATCCGAAATATAAGCATAATACTCACTGTGTCTACCTCTTGAGACTTTTTTCTTGAGTTAGGATCTCTGTTGCCCAGGCTGGAGTGCAGTGGCATGATCATGGCTCACTGCGGCCTCAACCTTCCGGTCTCAGGCGATCCTCCCACCTCAGTCTCCCGGGTAGCTGAGACTACAGGTATGCGCCACCATGCCTGGCTAATTTTTTGGGTTTTTGTAGAAAAAAGGTCTCACTATGTTGCCCAGGCTGGTCTTGAACTCCTGGGCTAAAACAATCCTCCCACCTCAACCTCCCAAAGTGCTGGGATTACAGGTATGAGCCACTGCTCCCAGCATGATAGTTGTACCTTGTAAAACAAATGTACAAGTGTAAAGTTGTAATGATTATATCGCTTGTTATTGTTGACACTGTGGGCATGAGCTTTGGGCAAAGATTCTAACCAGAACTGTGCACAATGTTGTGGAACCAAAAGGGTTAAGGTTTTTTTTTCCCCATACTGGATTATTGTTGCTGTCTGGTGATCCTTTGCAAGCTTCTGAAGCTAGCCTAATTTCTCAAAATCCTAGCGGAGGAAGAAATAGAATCATTATTTCCATGAACTCCTGTTTCCCTTGAATTTTGTCAAAATGGGAGGTACTTGAACAGAGCCTAGGGTCTGGATCTGGTCCTCCAGATGTTTACTAGTGAGTGCTTCAGGATGGAAGCGCAGCTTGCTTTGTGGCAGCCCAGGTGGGCAGGGCCTTGGCTATCAGCTCTAGGGGAAGAGAGCCCCAGGAGTTGTCCCCCCAGCAGGATTAGTGATTGGGCAGGCTGTCTTTTGCTTTGACTGTGACAGACCTGGCTCTGTAGCCCTTCTGTTCTCTTTCAAGGGTTGTTGCGAAGATGACTGGCCAATTTGAAAATAGGGTGTAAAGCAACACACGGGGTTGGCGTTGTCTTTTGTAAGAAGACTGCTTTGTTTATAATCATCTCTTTCACTGATATCTTACAACTTTCCTGAGTCATGCTTATAAGTAAAAGTTTAGTTTCCTTTCGTTTATGTACTATCTTTGGCTAAAAAAGGACTCAAATTCCAAAGTTGTAGGGAGCCATCGAAGGTGTATAGCAAGTCAGAGAGGGACCACTGTAGGACCAGGGAGAAGGTAGAAGGATGCTGGCTGCTGTCTGTGGCTTTTGCCAGATCAAATTAGTTCACAAGCCTTTGTTTACTAAACACTGATTCTTCCGGATTCCTAAGAGCCCTCTTGGATTACATGTTCATCCACTGAGTCCAGACTCTGAGAAGCTCATTTCTGCTTATGTTTAGTGTTACTGTCAGTTTCTCTGATTGTCCCTGCCGAGTTCCTGAGTCTGTAGCTTACTTGGAGGCCTGCACTGTCTTCAGAGGATGGCTTTAACTCTTCCTCTCACCAGAGTGCCTTTGCTGGACAGGGAGCTTGACCCTGCCTAGATCTGAGGTTTTACACTGGGACATTTTCTCAGCAGCTGGGGCAGCTCTCTATTTGGTTCAACATGTACCTGTAGTCAAGTTTCTTAGACACACAGAGGAAACGAATGCCATGTTCCTTGTACCCCAGGAATCTTGCTGTCTGGGAAGTGAGAGATACATGAAAGAAGAAAAAAAAGCGGGATGTGCCTGTACCTGAATGCATGGTCCAGAGAGTGAGTTCTGCAGGGAGCCAGGGGCATGGAAGAAGAACCAGTCGGAGGAGGGCTGGAGCCCTTTCCAGGGGAGGCTTGACCCTGCTGCAAAGGAGTGTACACTTCAGTGAGGTAGCAAGGAAGAAGGGTGGCACTCCAGGCTGGGAAAGACTGATTACAGGCCTAGGGAAGGAGTGAATGTGGCATGTATCAGGAGGCAGTGAGCATTAATCTGGAGAGGGGTTCTCGTGGGGACAAACAGCTTGAGATGATTAGGTGCATTGAAGGAGCCTAAGACCCAGGGGGCTTCGAATGATAGCAGGGAATCTAGACTGTCCTTCATGGGTCATGGGTATCACTGATTATTTTATTTTATTTTATTTTTTTTTTGAGTTGGAGTCTCACTCTGTTGCTCAGACTAGAGTGCTTCCGGCCACCGCAGCCTCGACCTGCTGGGCTCCGGTGATCCTTCCGCCTCAGCCTTTCAAGTAGCTGGAACTACAGGCGCGCTCTACCATGCCCAGCTAATTTTTTGATTTATTGTAGAGATGAGGTCTCATCAAGTTGCCCAGGCGGGTCTCGAACCCGTGGGCTCAGGCAATCCACTCACCTCAGCCTCCCAAAGTGCTGGGATTACAGGCTGAGCCACCAAACCCGGCCCACTGATTACTTTAGGAGCAAGGAAGGGACATGGTGAAATTAGTGGTTGAGATTTGGCATTGAGGTAGTTGGAACTAGAGAAATGTGGAGTGTGTTGGAAGGAGGAGCTGCAAAGTACAGACGTAGCTTCAGGAATCCAGGAGCCAGGGGATGGGGTCTTAGTGTGGGGGATGTCAGGGAGAGTGAGAAGTACATCCTGATGCCAGAGGCCTTTGAGGGGAAAGTTGGAACTTGCTTGTCGGGCTGTGAGGGGGGAAGGAAGGAAAGAATCAAGCATAACTCAGAGGTTTGAGCCTGTGTAACTGAGAGCACAGCAGTACCAATGTTAGAATAGTGTCCACGGCATGCTCCTGTAGTCCCAGCTACTAGGCGGAGGCAAGAGGATTGCTTGAACCTAAGAGTTTGAATCTGAAGGGCGCTGTGGTTGACTCTGTGAATAGCCACTGCACTGAAGCCTGGGCAACATAGCAAGACTGCAACTCTTTCAAAAAAAGAGAGAAAGAAAATAGTTAAGAGGGTAGTTTACATGACACACATGGCTAGGTTGAGTTTGAGTTTTCAGTGGAAGAAAACTCTTGGAATATGTGAGGGGTGTGAATGTGTGTGTTTTTATTTTTGCAGGTCCATAATCCGTTATCTGCAATTCTGAAATCCAAACAGTACTGCAGACTAAAGGAAATTTTCTAGTTTCTTTTATTTATTTATTTTAAAATTTGCAACAAACTCATTTGCAGCAACCAAACCTGGCCTAAACGGAAATGGCTATATATAATCTTTCTTTATTCCATTTATTGTGGATATTCTGCTTTTCATTGCAAAAATTAGAATTGCTTAGGTAAATAGTTTATGCTGTGTTAACAAGTAGACCTCAAGACTCAGGGATTTAACACAGTATGTCCAATTTGGGGAGTGGGGTGGGGAGGATATATTTCTCCAGAGTCACTCAGCAAGTTGGATTGAGGAG